GATCTACTGGGCCGATTTTAACGTTTTAACCGCCACTTTGATCGCAAGACACGCCTCTACAACTTTTATTAGAAGTCGAAATAAGGTTTACTTTGGCGTGACAGACGGAAAATGCAGCAATTGCGTTTTTGATATTTTTACTATAAATGTATCAAAAAGGTAATTTTGGTCAATAAAGCGCGTAGAAATATAAGTCCTTCGCTTCGCTTCGGACAATTATTTTATTATGTACGTAATTTTTACTACGTCATCTCACGTAACATCTCATGTGACCGTGTCCTTTTAATTAAAGTCATCGCTAGTGAATCCGCTACGACGAAACGTCGTGGTGCTATGATTGCTGCTGTCTTTGCTATGCAAGGATTTGGAATCTTATCAGCTGCTATAATTTCAACTATAGTTGTGGCTGCTTTTCATAATGCCATCTCCCCAACTAATTATGCAAATATTGATTACATATGGAGAATCGTCACCGGTTGTGGTGCTATTCCTGCTTGTGTCGCTCTTTATTACCGACTTACTATACCTGAGAGTCCACGTTATACTATGGATATTGAACGTAATGTCGATCAAGCTTCAACAGATATCTCCACTTCATTAGTGTCTAATAAATACAAACCTCGTGATCAGAATGTTGTCGTTAAAGTTGATGCTCCAGAATTTAGCGTCAATGATTTCTTTTCTCATTTTGGTCAATGGAAAAATGGAAAAGTTTTATTCGGCACTGCTTTTACATGGTTCGTTTTAGATATAGCTTTTTATGGTGTCGGTCTTAATAATAATATTATCTTGCAAAATATTGGTTTTCTTGGTGATGGTAAAGATCCTTTTGAAACGTTATTTAAAGCTTCTATTGGTAATATTATCATCGCATTGTTGGGTACTGTACCTGGTTACTGGATTACTGTATTCACCATTGATATTTGGGGTCGACGTCCAATTCAACTTATGGGTTTTGCTGTAAATACCATACTATTCATTGTCCTCGGAGCTGCATATTGGCAAATCAGATCTATTTCTTGGCTTTTTATCTTAATATTTACATTAGTTCAAGTAAGTTATATTAAGAAAATATGGTTTTAAAACTTATTAAATTTATATTAATTATTTTTATTCTTCAGCTCTTCTTTAATTTTGGTCCCAACGTTACTACTTTCGTTGTGCCTGGTGAAGTATTTCCAACTCGTTACCGTTCGACTGGTCATGGAATAAGTGCTGCATCTGGTAAATTAGGTGCAATCATTTCACAAGTTGGATTTTTCAAATTGAAAGACCTTGGAGGGGCTCCCGATTCACTTGCTTTCATAAACTGGTTATTCGTGATCTTCGCCGTTGTTATGTTTTCTGGTATGGTTGTCACTTACTTTTGTATACCTGAGACAAAAGATCTCTCATTGGAAGTCTTGTCAAATGAAGATCAAGAAGGCTTTGTTAGAGGTGCACGTAAACCTACTATTGTCGAAGTCCCCAATAATAATAATAATAATAATAATTAAATGATCTTGTTAAACATGATAAAGACAGAATCGAAAGGTCTCCACCACCTAAAATTCAAGGCTGGCCAAAAAAAAAAGTTGATCACAATATTATTAAACAAAATTATGAAATCTAAGTTGATAATTAATAAGATTTGTTTATATAAGTTTAAAAATTTTATCTAGAGATTACGAATTTTGGCAACTTCTCTGCCCGGTTGATGTTGTGGTGGTGCAACTTTTCTGAATCCTTCAATTTTGCAAAATATTTTTGATATATTAATATTAGGCCATACAAATTTAATAACTTGGTTTTCATAACATGAAACTTTTAAATAGACCCGGCCGGCCGACTTTTTTTTTAATTTTTATATATAAAATTTTATAAAATTTGTATAAAATTGTTTTTTTAATCCCTACCCGGTTATTAAAACATATAAAACAGTAGGTTTATTGCTACCGTAGTAGAGATAGGTATGGTGTAGCCTATTTCGATATCTCAAGATTTTTTTGAAGTTCTCAAATTTTGACTCGGCCGGGTTATGAAAGCCAATTATTTTGCATGGCCTTATATTAATTATATAATAATAATAGTATTTAAATAATTTAAAATGTCTATGTTTATGATGACTATATTGTAATATATTTTTAAAAATTAATGATTCAGTAAATAAATTAAAACTATGGTATAATTTCTATGTTATTTCCATTATTTAATTTAAATTTATATAGATTATAATTAAGATTACTTTGACAAGTATCGTTATAAATAAATTCGAATAAGTAGAATTACTAAAATTGCTTAGAAGAAATGATATACCTTTAAATTTGTCCCGGTGGGCATAAAATTATCCTTATTATTATCATTAAAAATTAAGAAGTATTACTGTTAAATGCAAATCATACAAAATTATTTTATTTGATAGTTTTAAATGGTTTGAAGTTTTGGTTTATATTAAATAAAATTAGTTTTTTATTTTATACATGAAAAAATAGATTTAACAAATGAATTTAACGAATTTAATAATTACTAAAATGCTATGTTTAGACTTAGTGTGTCTCCCCCCACTTATTCTCATTTAGAGTTAATTTTGTTATTTTTGATTTTGGTTAAAATAGATATTTAAATTGTTACATGCAATAAATTCTCGAAATAAAACCTATGATGTGATTTTGAAAATTGTTCTAAACTATGCTTATGCATGCTATAACTCGAAATAACACCCATGCCCGCTATTTTAAACAACAATGACTATTTTAGATATACAATATATATATTATCTTCATTACAGTTATATTTTTATATTATTTTTTTGTATCTACGATATTTAATCTAATTTATTGATTTAAATATATACTATGATTTTGTCTGATTTTATCTCAAAGTCGATACCATTAGATTCAAGATCCAAATCTTTCAACGTGGTGTTCATGCAAAGTATATCTGCCAATGCTTTTTCCTCCTTCTGATCCAAGATTATTATTAGCAAGATCCAAAGAAGTTAGCGTAGTATTTTTACAAAGTGCTTTTGCAAATGTTTTTCCTCCTTCTGATCCAAGGTTATTAACAGCAAGATTCAAAGAAGTTAGCGTGGTATTTATACAAAGTGCTTCTGCAAATGCTTTTCCTCCTTCAGATCCAAAGTTATTAGCAGCAAGATTCAAAGAAGTTAGCGTGGTATTTTTACAAAGTGCTTCCGCAAATGCTTTTCCTTCTTCTGATCCAAAATTATTATCACCAAGATATAAAGTAGTCAGCGTGGTATTCTTGCAAAGTGCATCTGCTAATGCTTTTCCTCCTTCTGATCCAAGTTTATTATCATAAAGATACAAAGAAGTTAGCGTGGCATTCTTGCAAAGTGCTTCTGCTAATGTTTTTCCTCCTTCTGATTCAAGTTCATTACTAGCAAGTTCTAAAGAAGTCAGTGTGGTGTTCTTGCAAAGTGTATCTGCTAATGCTTTTCCTCCTTCTGATCCAAGTTTATTATCATAAAGAACCAAAGAGGTTAGTGTGGTGTTTTTACAAAGTGCATCGGCTAATGCTTTTACTCCTTCTGGTCCAAGTTCATTATTATGAAGATCCAAAGAAGTCAGAGTGGTGTTTTTACAAAGTGCATCTGCTAATGCTTTTCCTCCATCTGATCCAATTTCATTATTATGAAGATCCAAAGAAGTCAGCGTAGTGTTTTTACAAATTGCATCTGCTAATGCTTTTCCACCCTTTACCCCAAGATTATTATTATAAAGATACAATGAAGTTAGCGTGGTGTTTTTACAAAGTGCATCGGCTAATGCTTTTACTCCTTCTGACCCAAGGACATTATAACCAAGATCCAAAGAAGTCAACGTAGCGTTCTTGCAAAGTCATCTGCTAATGCTTTCACTCCTTTTGACCCAAGCAAATTACAACCAAGATCCAAAGAAGTCAACGTAGGGTTCTTGCAAAGTGCATCTGCTAATGCTTTCACTCCTTCTGATCCAAGTTCATTTAAACCAAGATCCAAAGAAGTAAGCGTGGTATTTTTGCAAAGTGCATTTGCTAATGCTTTTGCTCCTTCTGATCCAAGTTCATTTGAACCAAGATTCAAAGAAATCAACGTAGTGTTCTTGCAAAGTGCATCTGCTAATGCTTTTACTCCTTCTGATCTAAGTTTATTCCTACAAAGTCTCAAAGAAGTCAGTGTGGCGTTCTTGCAAAGTGCATCTGCTAATGCTTTTCCTCCTTCTGATCCAAGATAATTATCTTCAAGATCTAAGGAAGTCAACGTGGTGTTCTTGTGAAGTGCATTTATTAACTCGTTTAAATTTTCCAATCCACATTTATCCCAAGAAAAGTTCCAGGTTGAAGCACTTTTTTGATCTTCGGAACTATGCTGGCCGTTTTTGAGAATTTCCTCAAAAAGTTCTAATGCTTTAAGAAATTTGCGTTGTTCGAAACATTCGTATGCCTCTTTTCTCAATTTCTCAAGAGTACTATTGTCCTGCACTGAAGTATTATTTATTGTATCAGATAAATAAAGTGGAGATGATGTCAAATCACGCGTAGTTGATGTTTTAAGTGGATTAATATTTTGATCGACAAGACTTGATGAAGTCGTATTAGTTTTAATTGAATGTTCGTCAGTAGTAGATTGATTTAGTACTTCGTTGGCGAGTTGATTTAAAGTATTGAGGACTAATTTAGTCTCTGGACGATTAACAGGACTCTTATCCCAACATTGTTTGTAAAGTTCAATATATTGTAGTGGTGTGCCTTCGATAGGCTCTTCTCTTTTCCCTTGCGATATTGAACTAATTATCATATATATATCAAAGGATTCGAATGGTAGTTTTCCATTTGAAATTTCCCAGAGGATTATTCCAAAACTATAGACATCAGATTTCTTATCACGTTTATATCCAGGGACAATAAAGCATTGCGGTTCAGTATAAGCAAGCATTCCATGAGCAATTGAGTTTGATTTCATCATGGTTATCTGTTTTAATAATCCAAAATCTGCAATCTTTGGTTGTTTTTTATGAATTAAAATATTCTTCGAATGCTAAATTATTAAAATGTTAATAAATAAAAATTCCATAATGTAATCAATAAAATCCAGTAAAATATTAGCACTTACGAGGTCTCTATGAACAATGTTATTATTATGTAAAAATAAAAGCCCGAGTGCTATTTCTTTAGCAATGTTAAGTTTATCTGTCTATTGTAAATAATTAAATTCTACTTTTAGGTATTCTTGTAAAGTTCCTTCGTTTGCATATTGCAAAACCATGTGATAATGTCCAACGCTATCTAAATTATTCATTAGATCTTGTTTATAAATTTAATATAGCGTGATTTAATATTTAGAAACTACAAGAAAGTATACCTTTTGTAATTCCATAGAACGCAATAATGTTCGGGTGGTTACAACCTTTTCGTAACAGTTTAAGCTAATTATATGAGTTATAAGAATTAATATACAATTAATTATATTAGAAAGTTCAATGCAATAAATAATACCTCATAAATAAAATCTTTAATAATTTTTTATCTTGACTTAAGTCGGTACCGACTTTAAGACATTTAAGAGCAACCGATAATTCACATTCTTTCCACTCGTATTTATAAACATTTCCGAAACCTCCAATACCAATTATTGTAGGGGTCTGTAAATTTATTATATTCGATGCCCATCGGAAATAGCTTTTTCAAGCCATTCTTCTTGTATCGGTATGTTTGTCATAACTTTATGTATTAACTAAACTTGGTCGAAATCTGATGTGTGTCGTACGCACCCATATATTTTATATGTGATACTGTGTGTCGTGCGTTTATATTTGGTGTATACGTACTACGTGTCACGCATTTTAGGTCTTTTTTTTAAAGGGTACTCCCCAAGTCGGAATTCATCGCAGGGTCGGCATTTATCAATACTAGTCAACAAAGTCTATACCAGCTGGGTATTTTTACTAGTAATTGCTATGACTTCAAGTAAAATTTTTAGTGAATCCTAGCCCAACCGACTTGGAATTTTGGAATCTTGTATGAGTTCTCCAAATTTAAGGTTCGTCTTCTTAAATCCACTGGAAATACTATAATTAATTGAGGGCGACACCAATAATGTTATACATCGTTTATTGATTCTCTCCAATTCGGAATCGAAATGTGACATTTTTGAATTTCCACTAATCGAACATACGTACATACATAATAAGCATTTGCTTTTTACTATTTAATATCTTTAGTATGTTCAAATATTTTCTTATTTAATAATCACGATAATATAAATCTTCCCTTCTTTGGCTCGTGAATCTCTTAAACAAATACTGAAAAAATAATCTAGAAACATATAGTAGTTAAGAAAAAAATATTGTATAGCAAAGTTTGACAGTTGGCCACTATTCTAAAAGCCAAAAAATTAGTAATTTATCTGTAGATATAAAACAAACCAAATGAAAATTTGCATCTAAGCTTTGTGAATTTTTGCCATATTCTAATAAGGTGGAACGGGCATAATAATTGCCCATAAAACAATGCTAATGAAAATTTTTTTAGATTGGTGATGCTGAGTCCTAACTTTCAAACCGTTAAATAGCGACATAATAGTCTTTTTTTATTTATTTTTTATTAAATGAAATTTTACATATATATTAGTGATGAATTGATATGAGAATAAAATTATTCAGCATCTATAAAAACTGGTGACAATTCTCTTAACTGAAAGACCAGTTGCTGCATTAATGTGCTAGTTTAAAAGCGATTTTCATTTCATGTAATAATTTTATCTTTTTTTTTTAAAAAAAAAATAAAAAATAAATGTAAGGTACTGTATTTAGTTTTTTTAACATCTAATTTTTATTTTCATCATTAGATAATAAATATTGTTAATATACTAATAAAATATTTTTTGATTAGTCGATGAACTTACTAATCACAAACGACATAATTTATTTATTGATTCACAAATGGCACATAATTGCCAGGAATTAATAACAATGCACAACATATAAAGTGTTTCGTATGTGGCAAAGATTTTAAATCTTGTAAATATTATTCTTGTAGCAGAGTTATAAAAAAGTGCATATCTTAATATAAAAGATCTAGCATGATGTAAAAAACCAATTGACCATATATTATGTGCATCGCGATAGCTGATAGTTAAAAAAAAAAAAAAAATGCTAAATAAGATGGATGGCACTTTGCGCCACCATCGCACTAGTATAAATATGTAAAAGTAGTATGCTTATCAAATTCTTTTACTTTACTATAAGCATTTAGGTCATTTATAATAATTTTAGGAAATGCATCTATTTGAAGTGTTATTTTTGTTATATAGTAGGCTTTATATAAACTACCCCAAATCCATATTTTAACATGAAAAAAGAATAATAATAATGCTCCCCATACATACTTTTGAAATTACTATAATAATATCTACACATACTTTATTTCTACAAATTATTATATATATTTCTGTAACGTATAAGATGGTTGTTAAATTCTATGAATATAAAATACGTATTGATACAAATGATTGAGGGTTCTACCACAGAATCCTGATATCCAAAATCCGACACTCAAAATCCCGGACATACCAAAATTCCGTCAGGTTAAAATCGCGACAATACTAAAATTCTGATGTTATTTTAGGATTTTAGTATTTTTGGGATTTTAGATTTTGGTACCATCGTGATTTTGACTTTCCGGATTTTGAGTGTCGGGATTTTGGATGTCGGGATTTTATGGTAGAACAATCATTGAAGGTGATTATTACGCCTACTAGAATGTTTTAACTTACAATTTCTTTCTGGTTAAAGTATATTAAAGACATCACAAAATAAGATATCAAAGCACAATAGCACAAATAAATTTGGTAAATACCGCAAAATAACACAAAACAATTCTTCACAAACATCAATGTAAAGGCCTAACTTTTTTCGATAATAAATATTGAAGAACACTCTAGAACTGATACGTAATACGTAACGTAGAATACAATACAGCGCATTCATTTCTAACTCCCTAGCGTGCGTAATAAAATACAGCATTTTGTGTATCATAGTACAAATACATATACGTTGCACTTGTGTAACTGTAAATAATATATAATTTGGTAATTTACTGCGATCCAATAATTGGTTTCTCTCGAACTTGATTCATCGTACATTAAACCTCTAAAAAAAAAAAAAAGAAGCTTTCCAGGAAATTGTGAAAATTCATATATAGAACTGTCAATAAATAGCATGATTTGCGATGATAAGGATCAAAATGTTAAAGCTTCAAACCAAGCAGATTTATTGTTGCATGATTCACAGGATTTTCTAAATAAAGTAACTGAAGAATTATGTAATATATATAATGAGGAAGCTATGAAAGGAAATTATATCGACTCAATTTTTAACTCAATAGATCAACATTTAACGAGTAAACAACTGAAACCAGAAGAAATAATCAACTTATGTTTGAATAACCAAACAAACCCTATTATTCAAACTAATTCTATAATTCAAACTCTTCTTGCATGTTGCTATCATAATGGAAAATGGGTTAAAATTGATTATACTAAAGCATTTATCCATTATCAAAAATCAGCTGATTTGGGTGATTCTTATGGAATGCGTAATCTCGGTTTTTGTTATCAATATGGAATCGGAGTTGAAAAAGATTTTAATAAAGCTTTCACTTGTTATCAAAAATCAGCAGATGTAGGAAATCCATATGGAATCAGTTCTCTTGCTGATTGTTATCGAGATGGAACTGGTGTTAAAAAAGATATAGATATGGCATTTAATTATTATCAAAATTTAGCCGAAGATGGCAATTCCATAGGATTGAACAGCCTTGGATATTGTTACGAATATGGAATTGGAGTTAAAAAAGATGAACAAAAGGCATTCGATTATTACAAAAAGTCTGCCGATACTGGCAGTGCTAATGCAATGTGCAATGTTGGTTTCTGTTATCTTTATGGAATTGGAGTAATAAATGATGCAAATAAGGCATTCAATTATTATCAAAAATCGGCTGATATGGGTAGTTCTTATGGAATGTGTTATCTTGGAAATTGTTATGAATGTGGAATTGGTGTTGAAAAGAATAAACATAAAGCATTCATTTACTATCAAAAATCTGCTAATATGAATGACCGTGATGGTGTATATAGAGTTGGTTATTGTTATCATTATGCAGTTGGAGTTGAAATGGATGAACATAAAGCATTTGTTTGTTATCAAAAATGTGTTGATATGTTACTTGCAGAATAAGCATTCCTGAATGTTGTTATTATTAATGTGAAATTGAATTGAAATGGATAAATATAAGGCAATTTCTATTGTGATTTTTTTGCAAAATTTGATTTAGATTATTTTTAAATATTAAAATTATCTTATTTAGTTTTTTTTTTGATCATATGAGTTATTGAAAAAAATTCCATTACGGAATTAACAGCTAACGTTGTACACACAGTATGCGGCTAAGGTTGCATTAGATTTATCATGATTTCATTCATGATTACTGTAAACATTCTATAACAGAACTTACTCGTTAATGCAGTATGAACAGCGATAAGACAGTCATTTTTGTATTAAAATTATCATAATTTTGATCATGAGCTATTGTAAAAAATTCTAATGCAGAACTTGTTATTTTGGTAACTACGTTATGTGGGTATAGTCAAGTTAGTCCGTATTAAATTGTCATTACTTCAACTATGAGGTGCTATAAGAAATTCTGGTATAAAACTCTTGTTATTTCAGCGAGAATACTGTATGTTTAGGTTGAGTTAGTTTATATTTGAAATTCTATCATGTGATACTGTAAAAATTCTGTTAGAGGCTTACCATTCTGATAACCAAAATATTTTGAATTGTGATTTCTATTGTAAATTCTAATATAAATAATTTAATATCGGAACTTACTTGTTTTTCCAGTGACTCATTCTAATGTAGTTAAGTTAGTTTTTAGCAATACTGTATTATCATAGTTTCTATTGTGCATTACCATAAAGAATTGAGTTTACTTTATCTTTTAAAATACGTATGCTAATTTTATATTTATGTATAACAAATAACTATTTAGGGATAAGCGTTTGCATGGAACGAGCAATAGAGCCTTAACATTACAAACAAAAATTGTGCCAAAAGAATTTTTCTGTCAGTTTCACTATTAGATTAGGTTAGAAAGAGATTTATAAATACCAATATTCTCATGAAAATTTTTTATTAATGCACATGAGACAGTTTTATAGTTAAAATTTGAGTTAAATATCTGTTACTTTTGTGTTATGCCTATGCTACAAGATTTTTTAGGGCGGTAATCTAAGAGTTGTAGCAAGATAGAATTACATTTAAAAAATTTTCAAATCTATCTAAGTAGTAAAAATAACTAACATCTCTAACTACTTCAAGTTCTAATGAGAATTTTTCATCAATGTTGGTCCTTATTAACATTGAAAAAAAAAACTCAAATTACACCCGAAATATTCAAAAGAATGATATTTTAAAAAATAAATATCAAACATTCATCCTTTTAACGACGATTTTTTATATAGAATTTGCAAATTTGAGTATATTTTGTAATAAATTTACTTCATAAGGAATATATATATTGCAAAATTTTTAGTTATTTGTTATTAGCGCCTATATAATTTTGCTTGATGTTTATCTTCGGGTAATTAAAGGTTATTTCTTAATTTGTTTAGATCGATCATGAGCTTGTTATTTTTGATTTGTCGTGTATTCTTTTAGTGTAGCCTCGTGACCCACCGCTTTGCCCATTTTATCCAAAGAAAATTGGTTGTTCGAATAATTTTATATTATGCTTGAGCTAGAGCTTGTGTTGTGTTGTGCTGGCGCACTAAATCTAGTGCGGCTCTAGCGCAATTCCCACAAAAATTTTTAATAAAATAAAGCTGTGTTTTTGCATTTAAGATACATATTTGTGAATTATCAGGGGTTTTTTTCTTTAATTAATTAAAAAACAAAAATTTTAACAAATAGGGAAAAAGTTATGTTTTTTATTAACTAATATAAATAAATTAAAATGAAATTGGATAAAATGAAATTGGAGATATCTAATGCTAAAGCTTTTTAACAATGCACATGATATAACTTATGGATTCAGTCCATGGTTATTGTTCTACCTTGTGATTCTGCCCCAGAAGCATAACTACTACGTACAGTACGTTAACCTGCTATGAAGTAGCTTAAAATGGCTGTTACTTTTAAAAGGCTGTGCATGATTATAGAAAAATTAACGAGATTGTAATTTGTTAGAATAATGGTAAATTTGTCTTGTTCTTTACGTGAAATAAATTTTATAATTTACGTATGAACATTATTTAGCCAATGCATAATAAATGTATACGTTGTTTAGCTCCAACCGCAACTTTGAGTTTAATTACATAGTATCGTTCGTTCAATAAGTACACTATTTTATGATAACCTCTTTTATTACAATAAATGGATTCACTGTTACTTTTAAGCCCTATGTCTTTACGAATTGCGATTCTGTACAAATGAATTCATCAAAACCATAAAACTTTTAAACCAGCTATCATAAATGTAACACCATACAAGAAAGTAGAGACGTTATCAAAATTAATATTGATAAGTATTCTAAAGATAGAACATGTGACTTAATTGGTTATACTATACTCTAGTTGAATCTCATTTGGGGAGTTCGAGACATAACGATCGATAGCATCAATCGTCCATATTTTTGGTAATAAGGGCTTAGTATAATTTTGACACATCAACTTTGATACCATGATAACAAATGTTTGTAGGCAGCGAAATAATAGTACAGATGATGTTATATATTATCATACATTCAAAAATCACGATTTAGCCAATATCAAACCTCTTTTTTAATATATTTCTAATTTCCTTAATACTTTCTACAATTGGACTGTAGTTATTAGTGTTTCCTTGTGACTGCCTACCAACTTCAATCACATTCCAATTGCCTACAATCATCAAAAAAAAGAAAAGGTGGATAAAAATAAAATTTTAAAGTAGTAAAATTCAGTATTAAACAACCCACCATGCGATCGGTTAATAAGGCACATTATAATAGCTTGTGATTCGTGAGCTTTAGTTATATTGTAATTACAAAGTTGTTTATCCGGTCTTTCTTCATCATATAATTTAAAGCTTGGATTACGAAAATGACCAATTGTTGGTTTTCTAAATGAGCTTAAGACTAAATAAAGTTGCGTAACATCTTTAGGAAATTTTTCAAGTTTTGCTGTAATTTTTTGGTGATCTGTAGCTGAGGTTGGTATAAAATAAATATTGAATTTAATATAAAGTATAATTTAATATTAAAACAAACCATTTTCGTTATTCATGATGTCTCCGGAATGTTTTATATATGGTATTTCAGTATAAGAAAGATGTGACCAGTCATACGTTTTCCATAAATTTTCACCTTTATATATCAAACAACTCCCATCAAGATAGTCTAATCCTCTATCAGGATAACCCCAATATAAATCAAATGCCAAGTTTTTTACTGCTTCCTTCTTTGAAACAGAATAAAGTACAACGATAAATTGAATATAGCTATTTGCGCAGATCCCATAACTTGCAAGGGTATCGTCAATCCTGTAATTCTGCATAGAAAAAAATAATAAATCAAGATCGAAAGTACAAAAAATCTTTAATAAAGTGTGAATAAAAAAAATTATGTACTTTGAGCTCCACGTTTTTATGAATTAGCATTTGTCTATCAGTATCTATCTTGGTATAATTCATCAATCTATGTTTTAGCTCCCGAACTGTATTGATTTCGGAGAGTTTAAATTCAAACTTTTCACCATTTAAACGGACAACATAAAAAATTTCAGAATTTGTACTATCTTGTTCAGGAAATTTGGTACGTTCTTGTGAGAAACTTTCGAGATCGATTTTAAAGCTTGCATTGTCCCAAAGCAAGCAGTAATCATTAAATTCTTGTTCAGTTAATTCAGTTTTACATATAGGACATTGATGTTGTTGCGTTTCTTTCAGATATTTTACAAGGCACTAATAAAATATAATTATAAGTGATATAAAGAATATGTTTATATATTATTAAAGTTATTGTACCTTTAAACACCAAGATGTAATATGCTCACATTTTGAACTTATTGTATCAAATGGAAATTCTTCTGAAAGTTTATCAATTTGACACTTTTCACATTTCATTGTTAAACATGTAAAAAATATTTTATCCTTATATTTAAGATTATGTTACATAGTTTATTATATCAAATATAAATAAAGCTTTATAAATAATGATAAAATACGTAATACTTAGAATTTTATTGTCTTACTAAATTAAATACGTATGTGAAATTCTTGAAATTAATATATAAAGAATTCTGTTCCACATTTATCTTTTTTTAGATTTTGTGGTTTCCGTTCAGCATACGGAGACGTCCATATAGGTATTATCGCGCTTTTCAAATTAGTGCGACCCACGCCGATCATCTATTTCCTAATTCTATTTTGATACTCACTTTTCTGATACTAGTAATACACGAAAATTTGGCTGTAGATTTGGCCAAATAAAAAATTGAAAATTTGATTTATTTATTTTTCGTGCATTTAATCGCTATAAAACAGTCTATATACATTCAATTATTATATGTTATAAAATTTTTTCTTGAAATTTCGAAAATAATCCTAAAATTGAAACTGATCATGTTGATATTGAGAAATCTTCGCTCAACATTTGAAAAAAAATTTATACCAAGATCAAAGTACAACAAAGTATAAGGAATGAAATGGTGTCCGCAAATACGTTCTTCTGATTGATCATGACATTTTATATGATCAGTGCGTAGGCACAGACCATTTCAACATTTACTGTTCAGTTGTTAACCCAGTTTTACTGTATATAACTCATACAAGACGTAAATAACCAATAACTGATAATCTACCGCTACGTATTTATTATTATCGTTATCTTATTTATGTATTTCTTTCTACAAATGGGAACGTTATTTTACGTGACATTATGAGCGCAAGTTATGCCTGCTTCATTTTTTGCTTGGTATATTTCCCACTTTGTTTATACCTAAATATTCCCACTTCGTCTATTAGTATAAATTGCATAATTTCTAAAAAAAAAAAACCAAACCAAAACAAAGAAAAAGTGGCCTAAATCGATTTGATAAAATATGATAAATACAAGTTATACCTCATTTTCCTATTAGGGTGTATCACGTAAAGATATGGTTTTTCTAAAAAAGAGAACGATTTAAACCCATTTTACATCTAACGCAAGTCATATTCCGTTTTTTGTCTATTTTGTTATTGGCTTGTAGCAGCCTCTTGCCATTTGTTAACTGATTTGATTTAATATGATTCTCTATATAGCCTAGCTGGGATAAACTTCTGGACACGGATAAATGATTAATACAGTGGATATAACGCTGTATGATAACAGCCATATACTGATACGCTTATATGAATAGTAAATAATTATTAGTTACAGTATATTTATCTATGTATTAAAATTTTACAACACGTACGTTTGTGGCACAGTTCTTTTATACAGTATTTATTCTATATCATGTTTGAGAGGAATCTAATTTATGCATCAGATTGAAATACATATCATGAAAAATAGCTAAGATAAATACCATAGTATTACAATAACATATGCTATTTCAATTAAACAATTATAGAGATTCGTTTAGTTCTCACACCAAAAGTTTATCAACAAAAGAAAATCTATAAAATAGATTATTTAATACTGTAAATATTGTACTATACAGATTCAGTGCATGTTTCTATTTTTCATCGTTGAGTTAAAGATTAATATAATGACTATTTATAGTGAATTTTGACAGGGTTTAGGATCGGTTTTACTGTCACGTGATGATCGGAAAACAAACATTGTCAACCCTAAAAAACATTGCTTATATTTGGGTTTTAGTTTAAGGGGATTAGAAAGAGTAGCTATATAGTAAAATTGCATGAGGAATTTTTTTTTGCTAGAGCTCCAAAGATAATTTATTAGGCTAAATTTCGAGATAAATGCGATTTTTGCAAAGCAAGCGTTTGTTTTGAATTTTTTTACGTTACACCTGATCTTGAATTTTAATTGGCTGATAGACGTCGGAAAATCATGTGACAGTAAAATCGATCCTACGCCCTGACGTTGTTATTTAAAGTGCCATATTGAAATAATCACAGTGCTTTTCAAATTAGTGTGATTATCAGATTTCATACATGGAAATCCGGGTCTTTTCAAGTTTTGATTGAAGAAATCTTAACACCTACCTGGCCAAATTCAACAAACTTTTTTTTGGTTTAATTATAGAGATAATCAGAATTTGAATAAAAATATGTTCATCGAATTTAGTGAGATAAGTGTCGAGATAACTTCGATCAAAGTTTGAAAATAAATTCCAATGCACTTCTATTGATAGAGATTGGGAAATTTTTACAACTACTTGGTTAACCAAAACGAGATATCGTACGCTAATAGATGACACACTTTAGAATCGGGAATTGACAAGGAATCTTTGGAATTGTGATTTTTTAAGTGAGAATTTTTTAAAAAACAAAGAATTTAAGAGAATTTTACAGATTTCTGTGTGATGGATGATCGACGGCTGATCACAGTAATTTGAAAAGCACTGTAATTGATGGGCACATCGGCAGAAAATAATAAAAAATTCTTTATAAAATTTTTAACATACTGTATTATGCAAATATCAATCAAAATACTAACTCATAACCCTAAAGAGCTATTAGAAATGATTTTATAATATGAATTTTCTCATCGTAACAATAGCCATAAAAGCTGTTAGAATTATTTCTAATATGAACTTTCTCATGATACGGGCTGGCCCCAGCCCAACACCAGGCCGATGGGTGAGCCTGCACCCTTGTGGGTCGGGCTGGTCGATAAAAGAAGTACTAGAATCAATTCTCATATACTAGCTAAAAAATTGGCTAAAAATCAACCAATCATTTATAAAAATGTAGGCACTAATTGGTTGGCAATTTAGGTAATAAATTAGCAAATAACTAATATGTATAAGAAATGGAAGTGCCTGACATGTTCAGATGCATAGACAATTGATCAACATAAAATATAACGCATTATAATTAAATACAAAAAGAATAAAAACTAAATGATTTTGTATACTAGAATTTGGTAAGAAACTACCTGATGGCTTTCTACACATTTAATATAGATTTCAAGACTAATTCTTATTAGAAAAATTTATATTAGCAAAAAAGTTCAGCCTGGTCGACTGGCCCATGATTTTTTCATCGACCCATATCACTACATTCAACACTAACATAATAAGCTACTAAAATAATAACTTCCACATCCTAACACTATTCATAAGGAGCTGTTAGAGTGATATAATACTAATATGAGCTTTCTTATCCTAACATTATCCATAAAGGAGTGTTAGAGTAATTTTATAATACGAACTTTCTTATCCTAACACTAATCATAAAGGTTTATTAGAATGAATTTATAATAAGAACTTCTCACATTAACACTAACTATTAGAGTTCCAATCTGTTAAGCATTTATCTGAGTCTCAGATATCTGTTTACTATTGATATCTGAATAATTATCTTCTGATTATCCAGAGACCTGATTTATCTGGATAATTTCACATACGGATAATGAATTTATCCGGTATAAGACTGGATTCGATCAGTTAATAGTTCCGCAGCAATCGGGTAGCCGACCAACGGAATATGAAGACAAAATTAGATATAGATGTGTTATATTTGGAGAGTGGTTAAATGAACGAATGTAGTTTATAATATATGTTTATGTGACTTATATATTTTATTATTTATGTAAAGTGTGAACTAGTTTTCCCAAGGGCCAGAAGACCTTTATTTCAGTGATGACAAATGACAAAGTCTTAAAAATTTTTATAAAAATGATCGTAAATGACAATATCATTTATTATAAATAAATTTTATTATTATTATTTTTTTTTAATTAAAGGAGACCTTCTTGGTCAGCAATTTTTATTAAGTTGAGTTCAGGTACTATATATTTAGACAAAAGTACATATAGCTACACATGCACCTTTTGAGTGCCTAATTTAAGTAGTCCACCCAAAGGTTCTACACTATTTGCCGTATCTGCACCCCAACTAGGGAAATACCCATTTAAACCCTCTGATCTTAACCTATTTTCCTGACGCCTATCTTAACGCAGGTATAACTCACTACTAGGGTATGTAGGTTTTGTGATACCACTATATAAACAGCCAACTTAGAACACTTTATTATTCTCGAAAGTAAGCTCAACAGAGCGGTACATGTCTCACACATGCATTCACCTGCATGTTCCGTAATATCTTTCTAATTAGTACATGTTGTGCTGCTGACACCAAGTCCGTATCTCAAGCTACCCTTTCTAATTAGTTTTCTATTATGTACTTATTGCCCTTAATGGTTCACAACAACCCCAGTACCCACACTTGGAACCATCTTCTTACTCAGATTCTCTATCGGTCCCTCCCTTATTTCCAGCTGGCAACCTGGAAGGGTTGGTCTGCCTAGGCTTTAGGTGCCTGAAGGATGCCCTCCTCTTGGTTCATACTTTCGAAATATATACTCTTTTCCTCCGGTGCGACAACCCAGCAGTTCGACTGGTGTGTCCTCCGCCATAGGACCTAGTCGCTCAGTTTTTCAATCTTGGGCCCCGGTTCGAATTCAGCCCTCCTGTGGTACCATCAAAGATCACTGTATATCCAGATTTGGAACTTCCCAAATAGGTTTTCGGTTATACTAGTTTTTCGGATTTATTGCGCTGAAGCTCCCATTACAAGATGGTGTGACTGAAGTTACAGATTTAGTTTTAGATCCAACTGATAAGCATAGCCGTCAACCGAACACAGACCTTTTTTTAAATATCATTGCTAGTGGGATTTGAACTCTAGACCTGCCACTTGGAGAGGGTGATGACTAGACTACTACACTAAGTCGCCACATCTTTATAAATAAATTTTATACAAAACCATGGCTAAATAACAAGTCATAAAAAATATTTTTATAAATAACATTTAAATAACAAATAAATAACAAGTACTAATACTAATTATTCCTAAGCACCAAACTTTTGTATGAAGAATAATTCTTAAATAACACTTAATTAGCTTAATTATCCCTCTTAACTAACTTTATTATTATTGTACCTATGTGATACA